GGGGACACCTTTTTAAGACGTTTACTTTATTTAAATAAATACTTCTAGTCTTAACATTAGCCTCTACAGTTCATGTGATAGATTTATTAATATTACTTATACTATCCGTTTCTGCAGCTTTAGGAGAAATAAGTTTTTCCAAATTAAAAATAATAGAAAATAATTTAAGATCATGAATTGATCAAGGTAGGCTCAGCGGATTGACATTAATTTCAATAGAAAATGGGGTGGCAACTACATAATATTATAATGATTTAATTTCTACTTTTGCAGAAATTAAAGCTAGAAAATCTATTTGATTTTTTCATTGATATTTATATTGTTTAATTTTGAATTGTACGACATGTTTTGTGCAGATATTAGGTACGTTTGCGTAAAAAAAAATTAAAAAAAAATGTTTTTTATATCTGTATATACACGACAACCAATATTTTTAAAGGCACTTTGCCCAGGTCAGAATGTTGTATGTCAATCCGCTAGAAGGATGAAGGCGTTTGCCCGCAATATAGAGATCAACCTCTAAATTGCGACACACTCCAACCTCCAACTGATATTGTTGTTTTTATTTGTTTATAATAAAAATGCGTTACCCGGCGCATATAATGTCAGTTTTGATAATCTTTACAACTTCTCAAACAATTGCAGTAAAGTACTGGCAAAAAATCTGCCGAAACCTTAAGATTCCACAGAAATTTCTATAGGACTCTCGGTCCTATTATAAGAGTCCAAAAGCCTAAAGAGACATAACTAGAAATGCACTCAATTAAGTCTTTTCCGTTATGCTGGAAGGATGCTATACATTGTAATTCTACTCTTTATGCTCGAAAATGTCTCTCGTTTTGAGGCCTCTCGTTCAGCGATTGGGTATTGCCCGCTTTTTTGACTGACCAATAATAATCATCTCCTTCTAAAGCTGGGTTACTGGTAAAATGTGTATCCGGACACAACGGATACGGATACCAGCAATAGAACCCAGATAGCCGATACAAAATGCAGATGCTTTTAGTTGCAAAATGTTTTCTATTTTTGACAAATGGGGTTAAGAAAACATCGAAGTTTTGATGAATCGAAGCGTTAATCAGCTTTTAAAATAAACATGGTGTGTACATACATATTCAATCATCAAAACACTAATAGTTGCGAATTTTATGGGAGTTTTAAAAACTTGCTCTATATTGTACATACTTCCTTGTTGAAAAATTATTGGCAACTTTTCAAAATGTGTTCGTGCAAAAAGTATCATTTTTGTGCTTGTTAATTGTAATCTCGCCTAAACTATTTCAAATGTTATTCTTATGGAAATTATAGTTTTTCATAAATACAATTAATACTGTTGGAATTAAACATTACCATTAATAAAAGTTTCAAGAACATTTGTTTAATTTCATTATAAATAAGTTCCAAGATGTTATGATTTCAACAATTAACAATTAGTGGTACTATTAGTAATTTACCCAAGGCATATAAGTTCGAGTAAGTCCTAAGTCATACGTGAGGTCCAACTCGGACCAATTTAGCGGTCTCCATATGTTAATCTTAAAAACTCATGAGCACTTGCATTAAAAAATGCGCTGGTGCATCATCACCTCATTTCATTTTTGTCCGTTCTTAGCAATTGGAATTGTTTTTAGAAGATAAAAGCGCATTTTGTACGTTTTTAATAATCGATAAGCCCAGTGTAGTACACTAAATATTTTTTCGATTGCATTAATGCACCGCTACTTTTTGATTTATACATCGAAGACGCGATTAACATCATTAAAGACAGTACAAATGTAGGAATAGATATACAGGGGCAAAAGATTAGTTTGTTTAGATTAGCAGTATTAGCATCTAGCAAGGAGCAGTTAGATAGCATTAAATAAAATGGAAGCGGTACTGTTTAAACAGTAATGTATGAAAATAAATAAAAGTAAAACAAAAACACTGGTATGCAAGGGAAGGAAAAATAGGGAAAGAGAGAAATATTATGATAGGAAACGAAAAATTAGAAGAAGTGGCCGATTTTAGGTATCTAGGAAGTCAGATAAGTCAGGAGGAAGGAGCAGTAGGGATATAAAGCAGAGGATAGAGCAGAGTTGTGTAGCCTTAAATTAAAAGAAGTCCCTTCTATGCTCGCGAACGGTTAATTTAGAACTTGGAAAAAAGTTGTTAAAGGTGTATGTTTGGAGCACGGCGCTGTACGGGTGCGAAACATGGGCGCGGCAGAAAAGAATAGGTTAGAAGCGTTCGAAATGTGGTGTTACAGGCGAATGATACCGTGGATAGAGAAGGTTAGAAACGAAGAGGTATTAGAAAGAATAGGAGAACAGAGGACTCTATGGAAGTCAATAAGAGATAGACGAGATAGATTAGCAGGACACCTTCTCAGGCATGAAGGTCTAGTCAAAGACATATTAGAGGCAGAAACGGAAGTTAGGAGGGGAGGTAGACCTAGATTAGATTACTGTTCGCAAATAGTTAAGGGTATGGATTGTTCTAGTTTTAGGGAAATGCGAAAATTAGCTCAGGATAGGAAAGAGTGGAGGTACGTATCCAACCAGTCTTAGGATTGACGACCTTATGATGATGATGATGATTAATAATTTTAAAAATATAGAGAAATAAATACCTATCGCTCTGTATTTTCCAAAAATCATCAAAGGATAAAATATTTTTAGAATAACCCAGGAAATAACGCCTTGATGTTTTGCCGTATGTTTAATTGACGCCCCGTATATTCATAAGCGGCCTCTTTATATTATATATGATCCTCATTTTTCATGCAACAAATGTAATTATTAAACTACTAACTAAATATTTTTGAGTAAATTTGTCTTTTGATTATTTTTACCCCTGTATGTTCTTTAATTCTGCCCATAATAAAAACAAACGTTTGGTCACTCTTAGAAGCAATTCTAAATTCGTACGCCGAATTCCGGAAAATAATTTCTCATTCTCATGAAATACATACACGAATTGTTAAATAAAACGAATGGGTAATTAAACTTTCATTTTTTCTCTACGCACATAAAAATAGATTATAACAATAACGAGGTCGATGCTACCATAATACATTATAAATAACTATTAAAAAGTATTATTTTTAGTTGACACATTAACGCGGAAGTTAATTATAATAAAAAAATGCCAATATCGTGAAAATAACCAGATTGTACTTTTATTAAACCATATTACGTCTGTCTAATACGGGCCACATTTTTTATTTTACATCCTTGAGCAAATTTATGTAGGTAGGTGATTTCGAGAGTATGAATGTATCCTAACGCAATGTGCCCATAAATAAAAATATTTAATCGGGACTTAATTTTAGAATTTGAGGATTCAAATTCCGAGTTTATAACTAGATGAAAAACTGCGTTTCAGTAAGTGATAATTCATGACTTGAAGATTTGTTCACTTGACAAAAACAATACCAAATTATTTTCAAGTTGTTCGTTGTAAATAGGACAAGGATAATGTCCACCGGTCCGAGTAAATATAGTTATGAGGACAATGCTTTTTGTCTACGTACAACGTTTCGAATTAAGTAGAACATATACTAGATGAAAAAATATAATATTTTAAATTATACAACATCAGTTTCATGGACTTTCATAGTCTAAGGACCAGTTTAATTAAAATCAGACTGTAGGGTCTATTTATATGCATATTTTATCCGTTAGTAATGCAGCTTAGATATTTGCGCGTGTGTACGTACAACAAGAATATTTGCGTAGAATTACGAAATGGGAAAAATGGAAATTCGAATTTGTAAGGGAAGAGAAGTGCGAGCGCCTACTTACGTCCATGCTGGGTGTCAAAATTCGCCGACAGTTTTGAAGACGGTCAGCGGTTTTGCTTGTTGATCTTCACTACAGGGTAACACTTCTTCGGCATTGGCGGCATGAGGTTGGACACAGTTCGTGCAACTACCGAACGATCAGCGATCTCTTTGACGGTTAGCCACGTTAACTCTAATATTAGACGGCCGGTTTGACAAAATGCCAAAAGTCTAGATATTATTACCTATAGCATGCCCCAAGTACCCAGACTTCTTGCCCTTGTCGTGTCGTCTTCATCATTATTTAGCTCTCATTATTCAACCCGATTACTTATAAAGATACATTTTAACAGGGCCGGCGGAAGAGATGGATACGGTGGGTAACAGTACCTACCTGAAATATTTGTAGGGTATTTACCCACCTGAAAATGTGTATATGAAATGCCGATGTTCGTCTTCGATTTTCATAAAGTACATCTGTCGAAATTGCTATTTGCAAGCAGATGTAACATTTATTTTTATTGGAATATGTTTTCCAAGTTATAGTTCTTGGAATGTTAAAACGGGAATGGTAGAGTTTTTTGTCACTTATTCAGTGTTACTGGCTAGCAACTTATTTTATTATCGGAAAGATCGAGGGTTCATAATACGTTCATAGCAAGTAGAGCAGTGCATGCTCCCCTGTGTATTCATAATTACCGGTTTTTACTATTTCTCTTATTGACATAAAAGTTCTTCCCTCCTATCAGTCACTGTGAGCTAGAAACCATTGCTTCGAGTGGTCGAAATTCACTTTTTTGTATACAATTTGTTTGTGATAAAAATTGTTTGAAAAATTAAATTTCAAGGAATTGTTTGTAAATAGGTATGCAACACATCGTACATTTCAGCATAAGAAATTGCTGATACTAACTACATAATACTACCTTGCCCTGTGCTGATAGCACTCATCATTTCTTTTATATATAATATTAAGGAATCATTTGAATTCCTATTTCTTTTTAATGCAATTTTGAAATATTTTACCGAATCGAAATTCGCAACAAAGATCTTCAAAAAATGGAAGTTTGTGTAGTAGAGCTAAGTAGAAAGATAGAAGACGTTAGTTTTGCGGCAAACACCTCTAGTGAATCTCATCGTAAGAAATCAGAAGGAATTTGATTGAAAACTAACGAACTCGTCAATGAATAGATATTAGCAATTTTGAAATATTTCATCAAGTTATTTCTTCTTTTGAGAGTCAATTCGATGTTGATTTAAGCAAGTTCTTCAAAATATTAGAAAGTTTCGTTGCTAGTAAAACAGTATACGTGAAGAAAATTATCACGTTTTATAAGGGAGGTTTCGATGAACTCAGATTAACGAATAATATGATTTTGAGTATTACAAGACGGAAAGAAAGCAACCCTGAAACATAGATGAAAGATGTAGAATTCTTTCGGGAAAATGACTGGTACATGGGACTTGTTCCCGAATATTTGCTACTTATTATTATAGGATCATTCTGCTCGAACGAAAGAAAATTTTCTGTTTTATATAATCCTAAATTGACAGTTAGCAAAGTGTTACTAGAACATTAGACAATTGTGTATGTGACAACTTTAATTTATTTGTTATTTTAACATTGTAATGTTGAAGAATGTCAACCACAACTAGAAACACAAAAAAATCATCGAAAACATCAGTTACTAAACGGAGAAAATCTTCTTCTAGTAAACGAAAGAACAGTAAAGGAGATACTTCGTCTATACAATCGCTGACCGAAAGCAATTCTGGTGAAATTTCAAAGGACAGTCAAATAAGTTCAATAAAATCTTTAATAGACTATCAGGAAGAAGTGACGATGATTTTCTTTCGAAGTATGCTTCCTATTATTATTGAGAAATGGGAGGTGATTTCACCCGAAACCGAAATAGCTTCGATTAGTGCGGAATCTTTAAAAGTAGACGATATTAATGACATTAGCGAAACCGACTTGCGAACTCTTGATTTAACGACATCGGTAATGGAAAATTCAAAGTTTCTGGAAAGTACCGAACTCATTACAGTACCCAGTGAGTGCTTAAGCTTAAGAATTGTAATTATCTACAAATTTAAAAATATTAGCAATGAGTAAACAGAAAAAAGTATGAGACTTAAACCACTTAAAATTCAAAAATTTTTATTGTAATGCATTTTAGATCATTTTTGTATGCAGAAATTTTTGGTGAATTCAATTGCTTTTATTTTGAATCACACTCAATATATAATATAAATATAAAACGAATATTAGGCTAAAAATACAGCACAATTATTCGAAATTTTTAAGCAAAGATAAAGTCCTATTCATCAACTAGTTCGTGTGCAATATTTTTGCTTCAGTTTTTCCACTTTTCAAGAGCAGTTAATGTTAAGAAAATATCGAGGTTTATTATCCTATTCCTTCTCACTTTGCAATAACATCCTTTTATAATTGCTATTTTTTATCTTTCAAAATCACATTTTACGAATTCAATTTACATACTTATCATGTTAACACGTCGTAAATTGTAAAACGTTAATGATACTGAATTTTCTTGCATGCGGGACTTATTGAAAAGTTATTTCAAATCGTTCAAAATATTTTTAAAATAAGAATAATTGTGATGTTCTAATAGAATCTAGGAAAAAATCCCCCAGGAAAAAATCCAAAAAAAAAAAAAAATTCCTTCGTAAAAAGGCCCCCGGAAAAAGTTCCCTTGGAAAATATCTCCAAAAATTTATTCCAAACGTTATCATATGATTTAAAAAGTCAAATTTAATTTGGACGCAATGTTATCACCAGTAGCTTTCATAAAGTACTTGCATATACCCTATACACAAAGCCCGAAGTGTTTCTTGCAGTTTTGCAATTTCTTGTCTCATTTTTTCTATCAGGACTCAAATGGGAGGATATTTTGTGTTTACTAGATAGCTAATAAAACGATTATTCCAACCTTCCGTACTGTTATTTATGTACATTCAAAGTTTATCTAAGTACTTGATCTATTCTTATTTCTATTAAATTATATAACGAACTGTCTGATAACAGAACCACGTTACATTCCTTATCATCACCGTAAGGTCGTCAGTCCTAAGACTGGTTGGACACGCACCTGCACTCTTTCCTTTCTTGAGCCAATCTTCGTATCTCCAACATAAACGTACGTATAAAAGGAGCTCAAGACCTTTCAGCGTATTTTCCTTTTGAAAATGTCGAGTTTATTTTAAGATTTTTACTTATAACCTANTGAAGTATTTTTTTTTTAATAATTTTTTACCTAGTTTTAAACTATATTATTAAAGATATGGAGCAAAACAAATACGCGCTTACAAGGATATTTTGATACAGTAGGTGCAGGTGGAAGAGGTCTGCCACCCATAAAACGTTTTAAACTACCCATTTTGTCTTTGAACGAAAATATACTGTCTTTGCGTGCAGTGGTAGGAGGACCCTGAAAAAAAATATTTTCCTTTGCATACGTTTTTAGTTAATCAACGATATAACACCTCAATGAATCTACAACATAATAAAATGTACACTACATATATACTATCTATGTAAATATATGCATAAACATAATTAAAAACCAATATCTTTAGAAGAGTAACATTAAGTAAACTAAATATTTTTTTGTGGTTGAAATAAAAACCGGTGCCTAACTGAACAAATTGGCAATTCAAATTCAAATATCTACAAATGTTTGGTTTGAAAAACCACCATGGTATTCAAAAGGATAAAAAATGATAGATAAGAAAAGTATAAAATAATATAATAAATAGGTACCTAACTTTTGCATTACAGTAGAACTGATTTATCATCAATAAAGTATTTCATTTTTATCTTTAACGTTTAATCTTATTAATGTAAAAATATGTTTCTGAATATAATTTGTTATAACATTTCGATGCCAAAGTGTTCAGTCTCACACTGTTAAATTATGGAGAAACATTACCATCTCTTAATCAGTATAAATTTAAAAGTGCTAATTTCATTATTTTTTAATTAAAACTTTCAAACTAATAACAGTCTAGTGTCCTTACAAGGCTTTGATCCGTATATTTTTTAAATTTACAAAAAGTCAAAGCAATAGTCTTAATTAATTATCACAAAATTAATTCTTTATTAATTACAATGGCGCAGCTGTAGGTACAAATTAAACTATTGGTAGGTACACTTTTAAATGTACATACTTTATATTAACAAAAAAAGTAATGTTTAGTGTAAGCAACATATAAATTTCTCTAATACCTGACTCTGCCTTGAAAATGTTGGGCTTGGGCAAGGAGATGGTCCTACAGACTCAGCACGTCGGTGGCGTCGAGGAGGTGGCACCGGTGGGGAAGGAATGGTGGTATCTGCCTTTGGAGGTAAAGGGGGACGGTAGTTTTGGGGGCGGGGCATTTCCAAAGACTGAAAATGATACTTTCAATTAAAATCGAAACTAGCTCAAATTTTAAAACATCATTATGTAACTTGAAATTAACCGCTTCTGTAGTTTTACGAGTTAAGATACTTTTCTATTTTTCGAACAGTAGCATATACTTATGGAGCAAACGATAAAAAATGATTAACTAGAAAGCACAGTTCATTCTGCATAGTCTTGCATATATTTCTATTGTCAATAATTTATAAGAAACTCAAAAAAAAAGGAAAGGAAAATTACAAAATATTAAATACAGGTGCCTTTTCTAGGAACATACAAAACTTAACTTACTCTGCGAACATGAGTTTGTCTCTTTGGATGTCGATGATACATGTCATCGCAAGAGTAACAAAATATCTGTCCACATTGTTCACAGTGAATCCCTGGGGCTGATGCTCCGCACAATTCGCAGTGTTTTCCATCCTTTACATTTGCCACTAAAATTTAAAACTATATTGAATATAAGTTATAAAAAAAAATGACTACCTAACTTACGTTGGTTTTCGCTTTTTTGTGGCAATGGAGGAGTGTTTAAGTACTGAGCTTGATTACTAAGATCAATCACTTCATAATCTGGCTCTTCATAATTTCGGGAATTATTCTTCTTGTTATTTGACTTTGATGATTTGAAATTAACAGATGAACTATCTTCTGGAGGAACAGGAGGTGGCGGAGGTCCTCCACCTGTTTGGTTCTGCAACAGATGAGGGCATATTTTAATAGTAAAAGATTTATAAAACTCAACAGAATATCTGATAAATACTAATATTTCAATAAAACCAAAGGTGAACATATTAATTGAATACATAATCAAAAATAATTTGATTTTTTTCATTTATTTTCTTCTTTTCTGTTAACAGACATTAATTAATACAAAATAATTAAATTTTCATTAAGTTTACTCAGATTTTAATGCATAACTGCGTTTTCTATATGATAGTCTTATAAAATGCAAGAACTGTACGCCTATGTGAAAACTTATTCAAAATATATGCAAAAATGGAAACCTTTACATGATTAAAATTTTTTTCAAAAAAAATTGGCTTTTGATTTTTATTAAGATTTGGCTTGTTCGTTAAAATCCTTTATACATATTTATTTGAAAGTAAACAGGCTTAAAGTTCAATACACAGGATTTTTTATTTTGCTTTTTATAAGTCTTCTTGTGAAAGTTTTGAATGTTGGGATATTTTGGGTGTAAACGACTTTGATGGCAACAATCATAAATGTGGCACTACCGTAAAGGTCACTGTGCTTATAAATAGGTTATGCGGTGTTAAACATGGCGTCAAAAACCGACAAGAAGTAAATAAAACTGACAGTTTAAATTTTTGTAGAATATTGTTGGATTTAATCACTTTTGTTCACTATGTATTTTATGTCTGATTTTTGCCGAGTTTGCCTTCAAGGGGAAAAAGGACTTAAAGACATTATGAAGGACAAAGAAACTCCCGATAGTTTATACAGCAAATTAAAGTTATGTGTGTCAGAAGTTGTAAGTGTGTACTTTTTATTAGTTTTATAAAATAACGAGCGTTCTTTTTTTCAGGATTGGTGTATGTATAAGACTATGTTTATATGTGAGAAGTGTGTAATTAAGTTGAACACAGCATTTGAATTCAAGTGTCAGTGTATCAAATCTACAGAAATTTTAAGAAACTTTTTAAATCAATTGGGTATTGAAGAAAGTAAGACTGACGTGAAACGACATGAAGTAAATTCAACAATTGTAGAAGAAAATTTAAAAGCATCAAAGGATAAATCGGACTTAAATCCAGCATCTTTTGTTCATGTAAGGCCTGATCAACAACTATTTACACCTGGCCACTTACAAAATGTGATAGTTTCTCCTAGTGCAACACAAAGTGTTTTTCCTAATCTGTTTTTTAATCTAATCCCAACAAATTTATTGAAAGCTTCAAGCCCACCTCCTTTAAGTTCTGTTAGTAGGCTTCCACTATCAAAGACTGCTCCTCAAGCAAAAGATGCAAATCAAAATATGTTTGTGAGCATTCACAGATTTTTTCCTGTAATTTCTCCAACAAAAGATAGTACCATTATTCAGTCATCAACAAATCATAGTGTTATGCCATCTATTTCAACAAATAATGTTCAACCAGAAATTACAAGACCTGTAGTTAAATCAAAGGAAGTTTCACAAATATTAACTGAAAACAATAGTGAAGAGTTAAGCATTGAGATTGATCCAGCATGTTTTGATTTAGAAGACGAGGAGAGTCCAGACAGTATAAATAAGTCAGAAATGAACATTTTAAGAGACTGGGAAGATGTTATTGTAAGTAACAAGATATCCTCTGAGCATGACAATATAAATATCAGAACATCCTTAAATAACTCACTTCCTACTTTAAACAAAATGCTGGAAGTTAACAATAGCCCTGCACCTCTTGACATAGGAAGTATTCATAAACGAAGTAATACTCACAATCCACATAGTGCCAGTATTTCAATTGTCCCAAAACAGCAGGTATGTGTACTCAGTTACTTTGAGAATAAAATAATTCTTTATAATTTTTAACAAATTACATTAGAAAAATGTTAAAAATAAACACTGCACTATTTTCAAATGATATTTTTCCATGTAAAATGAATAAAATTAAAACTTTTCCTAGGAATAAGGAAAATACGTTTAATTTTTTGCAAAAAAGTTAAGAAATCATACAAATTTAATATAATATAGCAACTTTTTTAATTGTT